TCGTGCCCTGATGGCGGTCTGTCGCGCCGATACTCCACCTCGAACTGCTTCTCTGTCAGCAACCTGGTCATAGCCGCAATCAAAGTGTCAGTATGGGCCATGTTTCTGCAGGATATGAAAACCGAAAGGGGATAGTCACTCACTTTACAACACTCTCTGCGAATTCTGCATTGCTGAGCTGCGAGTGGTGTCCCTTGGGATCGTAGTGCACAATACGCGTCTTCTAGTTGATCCACCCACACTCCTTCACCAAATCATTGGGTGCAGAACGACAAGCAAGCTCACCTTGACCCCTGACGGGGGCTTGCACCTGCAATGTAATAGGATGCCATCGTCAGGGCAAGCAGAGCAAACCGTAGGGCACGGCAGATTGGCAGACATCAATCCCACTCACTTCTTCACCAGATGAATCACCACGACCTGCTTCTGCAGCATGCATTCTGCGTAGGACGCCACCAAAAGCCAAGGAGGCTTCTTCGAAGCGACCCTCTGCAAAATGGCCCTCGATGGCACAATGAGGAGTTGGTCGCGATCCTTCGGGCTCAAAAACCTGTTGGCAAAGTACCAGCATAGAAAGCGCATAGACAATTTACAGGCTCAAAACAACTTCTGCGAGGCGGGTTGGCGTCACAACCACAGTATTGGTCGGGTTTAACTGTTTTTTGCATCTGTGGTATGGCAGAAAGGCATTGAGCGACGTTTGGTAAAGGTGCATTTCTGCCAAATTAGTCAACCGCAGACACAAAGGGCCGTTTGTTTGGATCTAACGATCTTCTGCGAAAACGGGCTGCGGCATAAGCACGGTGCAAACAATCAGATTTAAAAAGAAGTCTTCAAACAGGGTTGGCGGCAGAAGTGCCATGCTGTCTCTGCAGACTTCCGAGTACCTAAACAGCACGCCGCTTCTCCAGACATGCATTCAAAGGATAGACTGCTACCGGGCAGAACAATCAACTGACCGCAGAGACTAGAGGGTACGCTATGCGTGAGAGTCCTACGACTTTCTGCGAGATGGGTTGGCGGCACGAAATACAGTTACCGTCGGCCGGTCTCTAACTTGATCTGCATATGGGATGATGGCAGTAAGACATTGACCATCGTTTGCTAAAAAACGTTATTCTGTGAACCGGGTGTGCGGCAGACGCACTATGATGACCGTTTTGATTAAACGCTGTTCTGGCAAAAAGGAATGCGGCAGAAGAATGGTGACGACAGTCGGTTTTAATAATAAATCTGCAGAGAGCGTTGGCGGCAGAAGGGACTAGTTGTCTCTGCAGACGAGAGGGCTACAGAAACGAGAGGGAGCGTATCTGTGAGAATCCTAAAACTACACGGAACGGAAAGACTCATGAGAAATTGGCGTTGATGAGAGGTTCATTTCAGTTCGGCAAAAAAAGTCCTTGGTCCTGTCGTAGTCCTCGCGGGTGAGTTGGGTGGTGAGTCCTCCTCTACAGACCTCAAGGGTAGCCACGGCCATTGCAGCAACTATGCTTGGGGATGCATGAGCAACAAAGAGCTAGGAGAAGAATGAGTAGTCGTAAGTTGGAAAGGAGAAATGACGTCCAAAGCAGACCCTCGCTCCTAAGTCATTTTTTCTAGGAGGTGAGAGTCAGTTCGCCGGGGTGCGTTCAGTATCGCAGGTGATCGCCAGATCTACCAACCAGATTTCATCGAGCCAAAGAAGGTTTAGTGTCGACCGTGGGGGCCCATTCTGGCGATCACGGTCACCACGTGGCAGACGGTCGAACCATTGAGGTCACTTCAAACCTCGCTTTGGCGCGCCTTGAAAATTTGCCTTTCGAGGCTCGGCGCAGAAGCGTGCGGCAAATATTTATGAGAGGTTGCCGCATGGCAGGGATCGGATAGCAGATTTCGTTTCCGTGTCCATTGTGCATGGCCGTTGCTGTTGTGCGCTTCTGCAGCCTCTTTGCCAGCAACACTTTAAGTGTAGAATGGAAGAATAAATATTGCCAGAAATGGATATTAAAAAATGCCCACAGCCCAATTCCGTGAACCAAAAGGGCCCAAATTTGAACTCGAGGTAGGTCTTGCATAGGGCTACCTCTAGGTCACTTCAAACCTTGCTAAAAATGATGCACAATCGTCCAAATGGCACTATGTTTTATCAAGGGTTAAGGTTGGAAAAAAAAGTACCCCCTAGGGATATTAAAATAGGCCCACAGCCCAATTCCGTGAACCAAAAGGGCCCAAATTTGAACTGGAGGTAGGTCTTGCATAGGGCTACCTCTAGGTCACTTCAAACCTTGCTAGAAATGATGCACAATCGTCCAAATGGCACTATGTTTTATCAAGAGGTTGGGTTTCCCAAAGTTCCATCTTGTTGCAATAAAATAGACAATTTTCTAAACCTAAAAAACAAATAGCACAATGCTGGCAGCCTTGTAATTGTGTGAACAACAGAATTCCAGCAAAAACTATGGCTTGTTCTGGTGACCCTGCACTCCATGACATGAAATGAGAGTGTTGGGCATGTGTTGTCTCTTTAGTGCCACCTCAACTTCAACATGTTGAATTTCACAAAAGTTTGGAAACACCTTCTACACATTGCAAATGTACTGGGAGGAACTCCTGTGAGGTGATTTTGGTATAAAAAAACGCACAAATGTAAATGCAAAACGTGGGGCAATTCTATTCTCCATTTTAATAAATGGCTGCAAAACCGAAGCATACAACTACTTATATGCTTCTAGTGTTCCCTGCGGAAGAATCCGCTTCGAATGTAGATCGCCACCAATCTAACGCCGGTCCACGCAGTATTGACACCACTAACTTTATTTTTAAGTCATCGGTAGTAATTCTCGCAGCATTAAAATAAACTTTAGCGGCGAAAAGCCAACCCTTAACAGTAGTGTTCTTGTCTGTGGGGTTGTACGGGGGCGGCAGCGTGGGCTTGATCTTGGCAACTTTTACAGGCGTCACTGTGGCTGCTGCCTCGGCTCGTGCGGCTGCTGTGCGTGCTTTTGTTGCTGAAGACTCGGCGCGTGCTGCTGTGTCAGCTGCTGCGCCGACTTCTACTACTCGGCGTTCCTCTGACACCTTACGTGCGAGTTTATTCAAAACGGTTTCGCCACGTCCGGTGCTTGTGACCTCTTCCTGGGCGGCAGACTTCTGGCGCGGTTCTCCTCGCACCTGGCGCAACTCGTTGACTTCGTTCGTTGCCCTCGAGTACAGCTGTCAGGCGAGCGTCCGTAGCTGCGAACTTTGCCATTAGCTCATCAATCTTTTCTTGATCCATGATGCGAATACTACACCGGGTGGGCAGGGGAAGTTCCGTGATTATCCAACTCAGTTAAAAGCGCAAACGCTATCGTATTTGAGCGAATGAATTAATCTAACTCGCAGGCAACCGCTTTGCAGCTTTGCTCAGGTACTCCCGCGATTACCCCCCCCCCCCGCCACGCGAAAAAAAGTTACTCAGCTCGAAACAGGTGAGCGAGGAAAGTGGCTCTCAATTCCACGTGTTATGGGTGAACTTTTGAAAAAACAGAAAGTCGTACAATGGAATGCCGAAGCAAGATATAGGAACACCAGAGCAATCCTAGCCGCGCAATTGAACGGGTTCGGGGATGTTGTGATAAAATTGTAAGTAGTTCTGATAGATATTGTCATTCTACGGATGCTAACTACAGTGTAACTCGACAATATCTATCGGAACTACTTACAGAAATGCTTAAGTACGATTTTACCACAACACTCCCCTTCATTTCTGGAAGTCCGATAGTGTCACTTCTTGATAATTCCGCAGAGCTCGTTGCAATATTGAAACTTCTGACGTATCAGCTTCTTAGTGAGAAAGTCAACAGCCATTTCATTGGTCGAACAGTAGACCAATCGCATTCTCCCCTTCTCGACTTCATCTTTGACGAAAAAATAACGTAACGGAATATGTTTCGTCCTGTTGGCGAAACCAGGTTGATGCGCAATTCTGATTGCACTTTGATTGTCGCACTGCAGGGTGAAATATGTACTTGTCGTCAATTTCGCTTCCTCCAGTAGCTCTTGCATATAGAGACCTTCGCGAGTAGCTGTGCAGGCAGCTATAAACTCGGCTTCAGCGGATGAAAGAGCTATTAGCTCTTGCTTTGTAGAATTCCACGAGATAGTCCCAATAGGCTCGAGACGATAGATGAATCCGGTGCGAGATCGACGATTAGTAGTATCTGCTGCATGATCATCATCGACATACCCGTTAAGATATAAGGGTTTCGTAGTAGTAGCTTGGTAGGTAAGTCCAACTTCAGGTGTCGAAATTAAATATTGCAGAGCGCGAAGAATTTCTAGTCGATTCTCCCCCTCAGGTCGACGCAGAAATTGAGCGAGCTGGCTAGCAGGGTAGGCGAGATCTGGACGACGCCTTAGAAGGCAACCTAGTTGTTGCTGATAAACCTGTAGTTCCGCGTTATCGAGTGGAGTTAGTATCCGGTTGATGATTGGTCGGTAGAGATCGGTAAGGAGTATTGACAATTGAAGCCGTGATATTAAAGCGTGCGGCTAGCATAGCTGCATACTTTGGAAGTTGTTAGATGAATAGCAGTTTCAATTCGGTAGATGTTCATTCCGAGAAACTGTGTGACTGTAGGGGCGATAGAAATCTGTAAGTTCTGTTGAAGTTTCTGTTCGAAGATAGTAGCGAGAGAATCTGAAGTGCTGATATAAAGTAAGTCGTAGACGTAGGAATGGAAAATTCATTATATCAAGAGGCTGCAGTTGCGACCTCATCTGCTGATTCGGTGTTGAGGATGTCGATATTCATCCCGGAAGTTGGCGATTTTTTTTTGTTTAACGTATCAAATGTTTTCAAATTGCTACTGTACCCTTGTTCATGCAATTCACCAAAAACCACGCACTATATGAGAAGCATTCAATATTCCAAATTTCCTGCCATTTTCATGTCAAGTTGAACGAAACTGATTGGCGAATAATGCTTTAGCGCATCCTTACCAATTAGCCCTTTAGACAACTGCGCCTGCTAATTTCTCGAGACTCCGCAGCCTTGAACGACGTAGGGACTAGACACGAGAGGAATTTCTGAGGCAGGAAGAAATCAGAGCAAGCCAGCCATGGGCATGCCGGGGGCGTGCCATCACGACCACCCGCCGGCGCAACCGCAGCCGCAGATGCCGCTAGCGGGCGGCAGTACCGGGGAGGAGATGCAGCGACACGCGCTGTTCGGTGGTGCGATTCAGGCGGATTTCCCGCCGCGATTTGAGGTGAGCGCGCTGCTCCATGGGACTTGAATGCATCGGGTCGTTGCTCTTCAGATGGGCATGTAGACCCGTTTGATAGGGATATTGCCACCGATTTTACTCACAATCGCCAGGTTTTTCGATCCGTTCCACTCACCACGCACAACCGTGATGTGCGCTACATTTTTTCGTCACATGCAACTGCGGCGTCGCATCTTTCCTCCATATATAGGCATGTGGTCGTGATTATATCGAATGTTTTCTTGTTCCCTTCATTTTTCTCCCGCCCTTCCCTGGCAGGACGTCAGTAACTTCCGAGACGTGCCCAACAACCAGGTGAGGTTATAACTGGGTGGGGTGATAACTGGGTGGGGTGATAACTGGGTATGGTGATAACCGGGTGGGGTGTTAACTGGGTGGGGTGATAACTGGGTATGGTGATAACCGGGTGGGGTGTTAACTGGGTGGGGCAATAACTCGGTGAGGTGATGACTGGGTGGGGTGATGATAACTGGGGGAAGGAGATTGTGAATATGGTGGGACTGGGGCGGGTTCTGAGACGTCTCAAAACCAACCTTATATCACGTGACTGGGGCAGGGCAGGGCAGGGCGCCAGAAACGTCCGAGACGTGCCCAACAACCAGGTGGATAGGACTGGCTCATTCAACTCCCCCCTCCCTTCTCTCCCTCCCCTCCCCCCTTCCCACCTCCCCTCTTCCTTCCCTCCCCGGCCCCCTTCCGCCAATCAGGAGGTGTTTGCTGATGCGAGCCGGGACGAGAGCATTGTGGTCGAGCTGCTGGAGATGAAGGCTGACGTGGCAGATGCTGATTCGTCCAGGTGGTTCCTTGAGGATCTCATGCGCGAGCAGGAGGCACAAGCTGGGAGTGTGAGTGGGGGAGTGGCGGGATGGTGGGGGATGGGGATAAGTGGGGGAGTGGCGGGATGGTGGGGGATGGGGATAAGTGGGGGATGAGTGGTAGATAATTCTGCGCCCATCCCAGCTGCCGACTGTCCTGATCTCTCGAGCTCCACGTGTTGAAGAGTGAAGAGTGATACTCCACGTGTTCCCGATAGGTTTGAAGAGGCGCCTCAAAACTAGGCTCCACATGTTCAAGAGTGATAGGTTTGAAGAGGCGCCTCAAAACTAGGCTCCACGTGTTGAAGAGTGATACCACCCGTCCTCCCGCCCCTTGCAAACAACCGTCCACCATTCCAGGCGATAGAAAGCTCCGCGCCCATCGCGTCTTCCGACTGTCCTCATTTCGAGCCCTCGGTGGTCAGGAGTTATGCAGTGGGGAGCATGGTGAGATGAGGAGGCCCACCTTAGTCTTCTCGGGTGGAAAAGAAAAGTAAAAGTGGACTTTTCTGGGCATTAGGTCGGTTGGGCTTGTGCTGCAGTGGCCTTGGTGGGTGTCTCCTGATCCTTGGAGGTTGATTGCATGCATGTGTGAACTCACGCAAGTGGGCTACACTACACTGTACATGCGTTGATGAATCTGTTTTGCAAAGTGGGCCACTGGGCCCCTCCCATGTTGCTCACTCCTGTCCGTCCATCGGCATGTATGGGTAAAATTGCTCTCTTCCCTTCCCTGTACCTATTTGTCTCAATTGCTTTCCCACAGACTGTGTCCAAGGGTCGGCAAGGTGCCGAAGCTCTTAATGTGGTTCGGGTACGTACGTCAGCCCCATTCTCGTTTCCTCCCTCCGGTTCGTGATGTCTTTTTGTGCATCATTTCATTTTTGTGTCTCGTTGCTCCCTCGTTTTCGTACTCCCTCTCTCCCCGTCCCCCTCTCTCAAGCGGTCCTTGTATTGATGTAACTCTGGATACAAACTAGGCAAGCAAGTTGAATACTAGGCGGCCTACAACAGTCTCCCTCTCTCCCTTGTTCGCTCTTTTCCTGTTCCCATACCACTATAACCAGGTCTACCTGGCGAATATCCGTCTCCGCAACGTCCACACAGACGTCCTTATAACTGTCAACGAGCCACTCTTTATCAGGTACAAACGTCCTTGTGCCCGACTGTGTGCCCATCTCTACCAGCTACATGCCTATAGCTTGTTCGATCGAGACTCCTCCCCAAGACTCCCCCTTGCGAGTCCCCCTTGCGACTCCCCCCCATCGAGACTCCCCCCTTGCGACCCCCATCAAGACTCCCCCTTGCGACCAAGGTGCAAAAAAAGGGCATTTTTTTCAAAAATTTACCATGTGGTACAGTACCGATTTTTTCGGCCGAATAATACGATAAATAAACGCCGCCGAAATGCGCGGATCTCGCGTTTTGGCCTGCGAAACGTGCGGTTCTGGCATTTCGCCAGCAGAAATGCGCGGATCTCGCGTTTTGCCTGCCAAAATGCGCGGATCTGTTATGTGTGTGGAGTGGATCTGCAAAAAAAAAAAAAAAAAAAAAAAAAAAAAAAAAACCTTAAAGTTAAAAAAAAAAAACGGCGTTTTTTCATAAAATGGCCAAAAAATACGGCTGTATTATACGGCCCGTATAATACGATTACCGTATTTTGGCACCTTGCTTGCGACCCCCCATCGAGACACCCCCTTGCGACCGCCCCTTGCGACTTCCCCTTGCGACTACCCCTTGCGACCCCCCCTTGCGACTCCCCCTTGCGACTCCCCCTTGCGATTCCCTCAAAAGCCACTCCCTTGTTCCTCCTGTTTCACATTATGTTTCTTCTCTCTCCCTTTGTACTCCATTGCCACCTTAATGGAGTACCGCAAGCCGAATGAGAGTGGGGCGGCCTCAGCGTGAGAGTAATCTCGTTCTGAGAATCCCAACGAAACTAAATTACTATCACTCAGACTTCGTTGCTACGCACGAGGAGTCTATTTTTGAGGCGCCTCAAAAATAGACTCCCAACGAAACTAAATTACTATCACTCAGACTTCGTTGCTACGCACGAGAAGTCTATTTTTGAGGCGCCTCAAAAATAGACTCCCAACGAAACTAAATTTCTATCACTCAGACTTCGTTGCTACGCACGAGGAATGAGATTGGGGCGGCTGCAGGGGCAGCAGGACTCACCCGGGCCGGGCGTCAGTGGATGTGCTGGGCGCTTCAAGTTGTTCTGTTCACCTTCCTCCTTGCCTCCTCCCTCATCTCTCACCAGTGAGAGGAGTGATAGTGCACTGGCAGCAGGGGCAGTAGGAGTGACTCAGGCCGCAGGGATTGTCCTTCCCCCTTCCGTTGCACCCCTCCCTTCCCCCGCGGTCCAAACTTACCCACCCCGCTACCCTTTCCCCCTGGGAAACAACAGTGATCGGAGCGAGAGTGCAGCAGCAGCAGGGGCGGCAGGGGTCACTCAGGCAGCGGTGCAGGAAGCTTCGGCAGGAGTGCTGGGCGCCACAGCTGGTGGGCAGGTGTTTCAGCGGCTGTTGTCCTCGTTCCAGGTGAACGACTGGGGGCTGTTTGGGCACCAGTAGGAGGAACCAGGAACTGGCCTGCAGCAAAGGCTGCAGCAGGAGAGGTCACCCAGGCAGCAGAAAAGGCTGCAGCAGGGGTGCTGGGGGCCACAGCTGGTGGTGGGTAGGTGTTCCTTCCTACGGCTCTTGTCCTTGTTCCAGGTCAACGGTTGGGGGCTGTTTGGGCTCCAGTGGTAGGAACCAGGAATGGAGCAGTAGGAATGGCTGCTGCAGGGGTGTTAGGCGCCACAGCTGGTGGTGGGCAGGTGCTCCTTCCAGCGGCTGTCATCCTCCTTTCAGGTCAACGGTTGGGGGCTGTTCGGACCACAAGACTAGCAGTTACCGTAGGAATCAAGTGCAGGGAGGGTGGCAGGGGCAGCAGGTGTCACCCAGGGAGCAGTACAGGAAGCAGCAGCAGGGCCATTAGGTGCCACAGCTGGTGGGCGGGCGTTTCAACGGCTATTGTCCTCCTTACAGGCCAAGACTGGGGGCTGTTTGGGCAGCAGTAGGAGATAAGAATCAAGCAGCAGCAGGGGCAGCAACAGGCCAGGCCAAATCAACAACTGGCTCCTGTTGTGGAGGTAACAAAACTGGTCCCCAGGATTGAAGAGCAGTCAGCAAGAAGCAGCAGGGCCAGCGGGGGGAATGAATGGATGACAGTGGCTGGCGATGAGAGGAAAGAGGAACCAGGACTCCAGGCTCTATTTGAGCCTCCTTGAGAACCTCTCAGCGCAAACTGAACTGTTTTGAGGTGCCTCAATTCGCAACAGCTCCAGCGCGGGACTCCAAAAGACGGGCCCAGCTAGGGAGTACTCCTGTTTAGTACCAGTGCGTCCACAACAGATTCGATCCTGTGTCACTCGACTAAACAAAGCGATTGCTTCAACTCTTAGCTGTGTGAACGGCTTGTTAGTTACCCATACTTAGGTCTAGTGCAATGGGGACTTACTGCTCCCAGTTAATGCAACGCAAGGGCACTGGTAAAACGCCATGGGAGCTTTGCTCTGGCCGGCTGCTTCAGTTACGACTTACTGTTACCATGATCATCAACCATCAGCCTTAAAATACACGGTCACATCGCTACCTACATATCTATCCGTGTGTATAGCCCTTCTAGCCCTCCTCCCTACCCTACCCTAGCGCCACCAATGCTACTCCAACCAGCATAGAGCCCTCAGGCAACCGAGGCACGAGCCACATGACCAGAGAAAGAGTTTTGGACCACTGTGTCCCCACCCCACCATCCCCACCACTAGCATCAGCGACAGAGCAAGCGGGTTACAAGCCAGATGTGCAGCTATGTGCAATGAGGGTTCAAGCCACCACGGCCTTGCACCTCGTCCCCATCATCCCTGCTGCTGCCATCGGGTAATCAAGACACGAGCCATATGAGCAGCACCCCCACCAGCGCACTGGCACTCCCACCTCTCCTTAGGCCCTAACAAACTCTGTGCTTCACGCCATCTCACGGCGCATGTGGATACTAAATCATGCTGTTTTCCCCTCCCTGCTGCTCCCATCGGGCAGTCGAGACACGAGCCATATGAGCAGCACCCCCACCAGCGCACTGGCACTCCCACCTCTCCTTAGGCCCTAACAAACTCTGTGCTTCACGCCATCTCACGGCGCATGTGGATACTAAATCATGCTGTTTTCCCCTCCCTGCTGCTCCCATCGGGCAGTCGAGACACGAGCCATATGAGGAGCACCCCTACCAGCGCACCCGCCAGGTGAGCTATGTGGTTCACCCCTGATGCTGCTGCTGCCATGCCTCCCCCTGCGAATATGGCTGAGTTACGAGCTTCTGACAACACCTGAAATGAGTGTTGGGGTGGGGGGGAGGAGGAGGGGTAGGTGGGGCAGATTGGAGGGAGGGGAGTGAAAGGATGGGAGGGACAACAGTGAGAGGTTCACACCAGATGCGGCTGCTGCTATGCCCCCTCCTGCGGATATAGAGGAGTAACACGCTTGTAACAAAACCTGAGTGAGAGGGAGCGGGAAGGCAGAGACAAGAGAGACAGCTGACTGTTGTGTCAGCAGATGCTGCTGCTGCTGCTGCCATGCCTCCGACAACAAGTGAAGTAGTGGAAGACGGGTTTACAAACAAGCGCATTGACGGTAGGCAGGAGCACCCCCACAGAGGCCACATGTTTGTTGCAGTTGATTTCGGTTTGAGTCGACTCAAAAGGAGGACCCCACCCTACAGAGGCCACTTGTTTGTCGCAGTTGATTTGAAAGAATCTCGCGCTCTCTCCTTCCAGCTCTCGTCCCCACCCCCCCTTTCCCTCCCTCCTCCTCCACGAGTCTCCTCCGATTCTGCCATCACCACCCCAGCTTCCATTGCACCTACCCGCCCCCCCCTCCCCCCCCCACCTCTTCTCCCCCTCTCTCACCTTCTCCACAACGAACTGCCCCAGAATGACCACCTCCACGATCCTCCTCCAGTTCCATTGCAGCTGCAGCAGAACCAAAAAGCAGGGAGAAGGAGGTGGAGAAGAAAACAAGTCAAACGGCAACACAATCGATTTTCCTCTGGACGGTAGCATGCAGCAGTACCGTGGATGGGAGGAGCCAGAAGCGGCATGATGAGAGATTGTGGAATTGTAACATCCCAAAGAAGGGGATGCATGCGAGAAAAATTTGAGAGTTCTAAAAAATCTCTCACAGAGATTGTGGAATGATAACATCCCCGGGAAGGGAATGCGAGAAAATTTGTGAATAGACCGAAGACAGTGCCAGATGCGAGACTGAAGCACCACATACTGTGCATTCATGAGGACAACAGTACATACCCTGGTGAGCTTTGAGTCGACTCAAAAGACACAGCAGCGCATTAAAACCAGAATCCTAAATCACGGGCCACAGCCTTCAAACGCACTGCGTATGAAACTCGCGCTTTTGTAGGGGTCTAGGGCGGTAACACGTCTGTCCTCACAGAGGGGGGTGTTTCAAGTTCAATGCGCTGGGTACTTTGGGACTTGCTGTGCACCGCGTATATCAGCCGTCGATTTTAACAGAACTTCATCCGACGGCTCGCGTGCCAACTTTTTATCAGAGTAAGCCGAGGCCCAATCGGAATCGTCAAATTATTTGCTGGTGTATCTGGCCCAATATTCCAAGCGTTTTACCAGGCATCACCCATCCTAACCCTTTTCTATATTGTTTGCAGAAAAAAAGATTGCTCGCGACTTCCTGAGGCGTTTCACAAAGCCCGAGGCCCAATTTCATACGCAGCAGCAGTGCGTATGAACGATTTAGGATGCGGGTTTTAATGAGGACAGCAGTACATACCCTGGTGAGCACGCTGACGACAAAGAGACCGAAGACGGCACCAGAGGCGCCGACAGAGACGGTGGAAGAGGGGAGGAGCAGCCAGGAGACGAGGTTGGAGCCGGCGCCGGTCACCAGGTACGTCACCCACAGGCCTAGGGTGCCCTCCTCCTCCTCCACTAGGCGACCTGAGAGAGTGAGTAAGTGAGTGTGTGAGTGAGAGTGTGAGTGAATGTGTGTGTGATAGGGAGAGAAAGGAAGAGGGAAGGGACAGAAGCCAGGAGACGGGGTTGGAGCCGGCCCCTGTCACCAGGTATGTCACCCACCGGCCCAGCGTTCCCTCCTCCTCCACTAACCGACCTGAGAGAGCGAGTGAGTGAGTGTGTGTGTGTTTGTGTGTGAGTGTGAGTGTGTGTGTTGCACGAAGGCAGATAAAGGAAGAGGGGAGCAGCCAGGAGACGAGGTTGTAAAGCCTGCCTATATCACTAGGTGTGTTACCCAGAGTCCTAGATTTTCTCCCCTCCTCCTCTGCTTGCCGACCTGAGAGATTGACTGAGTGAGTGCGAGTGAAGGAGGGAGAGAGCTGGGCACAACGAATGGCTAAACCTGGCTCCCTTTAAAAGGGCAGTGTTTGCATTTATTATTTTTAGCACCAAAAAATACACGGAATGGCTACACCTGGCTCCCTTAAAATGGGTCGTGTTTGCGTTGCGTGGGGAAGGGCAGGAAGGGGTTTTGAGGCGCCTAAAAACTAGACTCCTATCACGTGGAGAAGGGCAGGAAGGGGTGGAAAGACGAGTTTGAAAATTAGTAGAGGGCAGATGGCCACACTGGACTGGACACAGCAATTTTGAGTCGACTCAAAAGCGGACACAGCAAGGAAAATGTTAGCCACTTGTCCAAGGCCAGAGAGCACAAAAATGTGGTTGGCACCTATATTTTAGGTATAGCTGTTCGAACAGCAAGGCTACTCCGTAGCAGATGCACATATGCCGTACCTGCTGTATACCTACTCCGTAGCAGATGCACATATGCCGTACCTGCTGTATACCTACTCCGTAGCAGATGCACATATGCCGTACATGCTGTATACCTACTCCGTAGCAGATTGCACATATGCCGTACCTGCTGTATACCTACTCCGTAGCAGATGCACATATGCCGTACCTGCTGTATACCTACTCCGTAGCAGATGCACATATGCCGTACCTGCTGTATACCACTCCGTAGCAGATGCACATATGCCGTACCTGCTGTATACCTACTCCGTAGCAGATGCACATATGCCGTACATGCTGTATACCTACTCCGTAGCAGATGCACATATGCCGTACATGGCTGTATACCTACTCCGTAGCAGATGCACATATGCCGTACATGCTGTATACCTACTCCGTAGCAGATGCACATATGCCGTACCTGCTGTATACCTACTCCGTAGCAGATGCACATATGCCGTACCTGCTGTATACCTACTCCGTAGCAGATGCACATATGCCGTACCTGCTGTATACCTACTCCGTAGCAGATGCACATATGCCGTACCTGCTGTATACCTACTCCGTAGCAGATGCACATATGCCGTACCTGCTGTATACCTACTCCGTAGCAGATGCACATATGCCGTACCTGCTGTATACCTACTCCGTAGCAGATGCACATATGCCGTACCTGCTGTATACCTACTCCGTAGCAGATGCACATATGCCGTACCTGCTGTATACCTACTCCGTAGCAGATGCACCATATGCCGTACCTGCTGTATACCTACTCCGTAGCAGATGCACATATGCCGTACCTGCTGTATACCTACTCCGTAGCAGATGCACATATGCCGTACCTGCTGTATACCTACTCCGTAGCAGATGCACATATGCCGTACTGCTGTATACCTACTCCGTAGCAGATGCACATATGCCGTACCTGCTGTATACCTACTCCGTAGCAGATGCACATATGCCGTACCTGCTGTATACCTACTCCGTAGCAGATGCACATATGCCGTACCTGCTGTATACCTACTCCGTAGCAGATGCACATATGCCGTACCTGCTGTATACCTACTCCGTAGCAGATGCACATATGCCGTACCTGCTGTATACCTACTCCGTAGCAGATGCACATATGCCGTACCTGCTGTATACCTACTCCGTAGCAGATGCACATATGCCGTACCTGCTGTATACCTACTCCGTAGCAGATGCACATATGCCGTACCTGCTGTATACCTACTCCGTAGCAGATGCACATATGCCGTACCTGCTGTATACCTACTCCGTAGCAGATGCACATATGCCGTACCTGCTGTATACCTACTCCGTAGCAGATGCACATATGCCGTACCTGCTGTATACCTACTCCGTAGCAGATGCACATATGCCGTACCTGCTGTATACCTACTCCGTAGCAGATGCACATATGCCGTACCCTGCTGTATACCTACTCCGTAGCAGATGCACATATGCCGTACCTGCTGTATACCTACTCCGTAGCAGATGCACATATGCCGTACCTGCTGTATACCTACTCCGTAGCAGATGCACATATGCCGTACCTGCTGTATACCTACTCCGTAGCAGATGCACATATGCCGTACCTGCTGTATACCTTACTCCGTAGCAGATGCACATATGCCGTACCTGCTGTATACCTACTCCGTAGCAGATGCACATATGCCGTACCTGCTGTATACCTACTCCGTAGCAGATGCACATATGCCGTACCTGCTGTATACCTACTCCGTAGCAGATGCACATATGCCGTACCTGCTGTATACCTACTCCGTAGCAGATGCACATATGCCGTACCTGCTGTATACCCGCGTCACTACCCCTCACCTACTCCGTAGCAGATGCACATATGCCGTACCTGCTGTATACCTACTCCGTAGCAGATGCACATATGCCGTACCTGCTGTATACCTACTCCGTAGCAGATGCACATATGCCGTACCTGCTGTATACCTACTCCGTAGCAGATGCACATATGCCGTACCTGCTGTATACCTACTCCCGTAGCAGATGCACATATGCCGTACCTGCTGTATACCTACTCCGTAGCAGATGCACATATGCCGTACCTGCTGTATACCTACTCCGTAGCAGATGCCACATATGCCGTACCTGCTGTATACCTACTCCGTAGCAGATGCACATATGCCGTACCTGCTGTATACCTACTCCGTAGCAGATGCACATATGCCGTACCTGCTGTATACCTACTCCGTAGCAGATGCACATATGCCGTACCTGCTGTATACCTACTCCGTAGCAGATGCACATATGCCGTACCTGCTGTATACCTACTCCGTAGCAGATGCACATATGCCGTACCTGCTGTATACCTACTCCGTAGCAGATGCACATATGCCGTACCTGCTGTATACCTACTCCGTAAGCAGATGCACATATGCCGTACCTGCTGTATACCTACTCCGTAGCAGATGCACATATTGCCCGTACCTGCTGTATACCTACTCCGTAGCAGATGCACATATGCCGTACCTGCTGTATACCTACTCCGTAGCAGATGCACATATGCCGTACCTGCTGTATACCTACTCCGTAGCAGATGCACATATGCCGTACCTGCTGTATACCTACTCCGTAGCAGATGCACATATGCCGTACCTGCTGTATACCTACTCCCGTAGCAGATGCACATATGCCGTACCTGCTGTATACCTACTCCGTAGCAGATGCACATATGCCGTACCTGCTGTATACCTACTCCGTAGCAGATGCACATATGCCGTACCTGCTGTATACCTACTCCGTAGCAGATGCACATATGCCGTACCTGCTGTATACCTACTCCGTAGCAGATCTGCACATATGCCGTACTGCTGTAATACCTACTCCGTAGCAGATGCACATATGCCGTACCTGCTGTATACCTACTCCGTAGGCAGATGCACATATGCCGTACCTGCTGTATACCTACTCCGTAGCAGATGCACATATGCCGTACCTGCTGTATACCTACTCCGTAGCAGATGCACATATGCCGTACTGCTGTATACCTACTCCGTAGCAGATGCACATATGCCGTACCTGCTGTATACCTACTCCGTAGCAGATGCACATATGCCGTACCTGCTGTATACCTACTCCGTAGCAGATGCACATATGCCGTACCTGCTGTATACCTACTCCGTAGCAGATGCACATATGCCGTACCTGCTGTATACCTACTCCGTAGCAGATGCACATATGCCGTACCTGCTGTATACCTACTCCGTAGCAGATGCACATATGCCGTACCTGCTGTATACCTACTCCGTAGCAGATGCACATATGCCGTACCTGCTGTATACCTACTCCGTAGCAGATGCACATATGCCGTACCTGCTGTATACCTACTCCGTAGCAGATGCACATATGCCGTACCTGCTGTATACCTACTCCGTAGCAATGCACATATGCCGTACCTGCTGTATACCTACTCCGTAGCAGATGCACATATGCCGTACCTGCTGTATACCTACTCCGTAGCAGATTGCACATATGCCGTACCTGCTGTATACCTACTCCGTAGCAGATGCACATATGCCGTACCTGCTGTATACCTACTCCGTAGCAGATGCACATATGCCGTACCTGCTGTATACCTACTCCGTAGCAGATGCACATATGCCGTACCTGCTGTATACCTACTCCGTAGCAGATGCACATATGCCGTACCTGCTGTATACCTACTCCGTAGCAAATGCACATATGCCGTACCTGCTGTATACCTACTCCGTAGCAGATGCACATATGCCGTACCTGCTGTATACCTACTCCGTAGCAGATGCACATATGCCGTACCTGCTGTATACCTACTCCGTAGCAGATGCACATATGCCGTACCTGCTGTATACCTACTCCGTAGCAGATGCACATATGCCGTACCTGCTGTATACCTACTCCGTAGCAGATGCACATATGCCGTACCTGCTGTATACCTACTCCGTAGCAGATGCACATATGCCGTACCTGCTGTATACCTACTCCGTAGCAGATGCACATATGCCGTACTGCTGTATACCTACTCCGTAGCAGATGCACATATGCCGTACCTGCTGTATACCTACTCCGTAGCAGATGCACATATGCCGTACCTGCTGTATACCTACTCCGTAGCAGATGCACATATGCCGTACCTGCTGTATACCTACTCCGTAGCAGATGCACATATGCCGTACCTGCTGTATACCTACTTCCGTAGCAGATGCACATATGCCGTACCTGCTGTATACCTACTCCGTAGCAGATGCACATATGCCGTACCTGCTGTATACCTACTCCGTAGCAGATGCACATATGCCGTACCTGCTGTATACCTACTCCGTAGCAGATGCACATATGCCGTACCTGCTGTATACCTACTCCGTAGCAGATGCACATATGCCGTACCTGCTGTATACCTACTCCGTAGCAGATGCACATATGCCGTACCTGCTGTATACCTACTCCGTAGCAGATGCACATATGCCGTACCTGCTGTATACCTACTCCGTAGCAGATGCACATATGCCGTACCTGCTGTATACCTACTCCGTAGCAGATGCACATATGCCGTACCTGCTGTATACCTACTCCGTAGCAGATGCACATATGCCGTACCTGCTGTATACCTACTCCGTAGCAGATGCACATATGCCGTACCTGCTGTATACCTACTCCGTAGCAGATGCACATATGCCCGTACCTGCTGTATACCTACTCCGTAGCAGATGCACATATGCCGTACCTGCTGTATACCTACTCCGTAGCAGATGCACATATGCCGTACCTGCTGTATACCTACTCCGTAGCAGATGCACATATGCCGTACCTGCTGTATACCTACTCCGTAGCAGATGCACATATGCCGTACCTGCTGTATACCTACTCCGTAGCAGATGCACATATGCCGTACCTGCTGTATACCTACTCCGTAGCAGATGCACATATGCCGTACCTGCTGTATACCTACTCCGTAGCAGATGCACATATGCCGTACCTGCTGTATACCTACTCCGTAGCAGATGCACATATGCCGTACCTGCTGTATACCTACTCCGTAGCAGATGCACATATGCCGTACCTGCTGTATACCTACTCCGTAGCAGATGCACATATGCCGTACTGCTGTATACCTACTCCGTAGCAGATGCACATATGCCGTACCTGCTGTATACCTACTCCGTAGCAGATGCACATATGCCGTACCTGCTGTATACCTACTCCGTAGCAAATGCACATATGCCGTACCTGCTGTATACCTACTCCGTAGCAGATGCACATATGCCGTACCTGCTGTATACCTACTCCGTAGCAGATGCACATATGCCGTACCTGCTGTATACCTACTCCGTAGCAGATGCACATATGCCGTACCTGCTGTATACCTACTCCGTAGCAGATGCACATATGCCGTACCTGCTGTATACCTACTCCGTAGCAGATGCACATATGCCGTACCTGCTGTATACCTACTCCGTAGCAGATGCACATATGCCGTACTGCTGTATACCTACTCCGTAGCAGATGCACATATGCCGTACATGCTGTATACCTACTCCGTAGCAGATGCACATATGCCGTACATGCTGTATACCTACTCCGTAGCAGATGCACATATGCCGTACATGCTGTATACCTACTCCGTAGCAGATGCACATATGCCGTACATGCTGTATACCTACTCCGTAGCAGATGCACATATGCCGTACATGCTGTATACCTACTCCGTAGCAGATGCACATATGCCGTACATGCTGTATACTACTCCGTAGCAGATGCACATATGCCGTACATGCTGTATACCTACTCCGTAGCAGATGCACATATGCCGTACATGCTGTATACTACTCCGTAGCAGATGCACATATGCCGTACCTGCTGTATACCTACTCCGCATTTCTGGTCCTCGTATTTTGGGACGGAGGGATGCAGTGAGCGGGTAGGCATGGTGAAGGGGGGGGGGGGGGGGAAGAGGACGTACCGAATCTGTAAAGAAAGAAGAGGTTGCGGGAGAGATGACTCCTGTGTGTAAGCTAGAGGCGGGGCAGTGAGCTAGAGGAGGGGGAGAGGGCGTACCGAATATGTAGAGGAAGAAGAGGTTGCTCGAGAGATGACTCCTGTGTGGGTGGGCGGGGCGGGGGGGAGGGGGGAAGAGGTGGGGAATTGGGGACAATGACACATGAGCATACATGGGTATGGGACATGAGTCACATGACATGGCACATGTGTATGGTACATGGCAAATGAACATGGCACATCGCAAAGGAATAGGGTATATGTCAAATGAATATGGTACATACCAAATAAGTGTGGTACATGGCACATGAATAAGTCACACGGCACATGAATATGGCATATGACAGATGTGTATACGTTATGACACAGACACATGACATACAAAACGAATGATAACAAGAGAAGTACATATGATAACACATGGCAGCGGGGCATGACATTGCTTCCTGATTGACCGGCATCTACATCCTTCCACATGGACCATCAAAGACAGAATGTGTTCTGTTTCTGAGAGTTCTAAAAAGCGGAACGAATTGCTTCCTGATTCACCAGCATCCTTCCACCTAGACCACCAAAGACGGAGGCCAACAAAAGCACAGGCTTTGTGGTTAGGTTGAGAAAGCAGCAGCAGGCATAAGGAGAGGCGTGGACCAATAAGCACTCACCAGCGTGCCATGCACGGCAGAAGGTGGGAGTGACAAACTGATGCCAGCCCGGGGATGCGTGGTGCAGGTACAGGGATGGCTTCGTGGTTGGTGCATGCAGCAGCATGTGCTAGCCGGCATGGCAGAAGGTGGAGGTGACAAAGTGATACCACCGTGGAGATGTAATGGCCACACGGATCAATGAGGATTCAACAGCTGACATGGTGATGGACCAAACCAATGAGGACTCACCAGCTGTCCAACGACTCACCAGCCGGCATGGCAGAAGGTAGAGGTGACAAACTGGTACCAGCGTGGAGACGCATGGTGCAGGTACAGGGACGACCACACGGGTAGCTGGACCGGGGACCGGGAGAGAACGGAATAATATAGAAAGGTACATGTAACTGGTAACTGGTAACTGGTAACTGGTAACTGGTAACTGGTGGGATGTAGATGCGTGGTGGAGGTACAGGGATGACCACAGGGGTCGCTCAGGGCAGGGAGGAAGATGAACGAACAGGAAGCCCGATTCCCGGTGAGCCAAGCAGGGCACACGAGGCAAACGGGGCAACCGTTGAGCAACCCCTGTTGAGCGAAGCGAGGGAATCAAGGCAACCGTCGAGCCGTTTGGCTGAGTTGGAAATAGTTCGCTAGGGTAGATGAGACCCTCAAGAGAAGGTACGGAGCTACAAGGGCATCCTTTGCTGAAGAGCAGGATTCGGATTGTTTGTACCCTTAGCAAGTGATCCGCTAGGAATGCTGGGAGCGCATCAAAGCAAGGAGCCTCACTATAAGGCATGTCAAAGCAAGACTGTGCCCGTGGCAAGTGATCCCCTAGGAATGCTACAAGCGCCTCAAGGCAAGAAGCCTCATTATAAGGCATGCCAAAGCAAGACTGTACCCGTAGCAAGTGATCCACTAGAAACGCTTTGATGCGCCTCTAGTTTTGAGGCGCCTCAAATCAAAACTAAACAAGGAATTTGAAGGAAAGACCGTACCCGTAGCAGGTGATCCGCGAGGAGCGCTTTGAGGCGAAAACAAAGCAAGGCGCCTCAGAACAAGACCATACCCGTAGCAGGTGATCCGCGAGGAGCGCTTTGAGGCGAAAACAAAACAAGGCGCCTCAGAACAAGACCATACCCGTAGCAGGTGATCCGCGAGGAGCGCTTTGAGGCGAAAACAAAACAAGGCGCCTCAGAACAAGACCATACCCGTAGCAGGTGATCCGCGAGGAGCGCTTTGAGGCGAAAACAAAACAAGGCGCCTCAGAACAAGACCATACCCGTAGCAGGTGATCCGCGAGGAGCGCTTTGAGGCGAAAACAAAGCAAGGCGCCTCAGAACAAGACCATACCCGTAGCAGGTGATCCGCGAGGAGCGCTTTGAGGCGAAAACAAAGCAAGGCGCCTCAGAACAAGACCATACCCGTAGCAGGTGATCCGCGAGGAGCGCTTTGAGGCGAAAACAAAACAAGGCGCCTCAGAACAAGACCATACCCGTAGCAGGTGATCCGCGAGGAGCGCTTTGAGGCGAAAACAAAACAAGGCGCCTCAGAACAAGACCATACCCGTAGCAGGTGATCCGCGAGGAGCGCTTTGAGGCGAAAACAAAGCAAGGCGCCTCAGAACAAGACCATACCCGTAGCAGGTGATCCGCGAGGAGCGCTTTGAGGCGAAAACAAAGCAAGGCGCCTCAGAACAAGACCATACCCGTAGCAGGTGATCCGCGAGGAGCGCTTTGAGGCGAAAACAAAACAAGGCGCCTCAGAACAAGACCATACCCGTAGCAGGTGATCCGCGAGGAGCGCTTTGAGGCGAAAACAAAACAAGGCGCCTCAGAACAAGACCATACCCGTAGCAGGTGATCCGCGAGGAGCGCTTTGAGGCGAAAACAAAACAAGGCGCCTCAGAACAAGACCATACCCGTAGCAGGTGATCCGCGAGGAGCGCTTTGAGGCGAAAACAAAACAAGGCGCCTCAGAACAAGACCATACCCGTAGCAGGTGATCCGCGAGGAGCGCTTTGAGGCGAAAACAAAACAAGGCGCCTCAGAACAAGACCATACCCGTAGCAGGTGATCCGCGAGGAGCGCTTTGAGGCGAAAACAAAGCAAGGCGCCTCAGAACAAGACCATACCCGTAGCAGGTGATCCGCGAGGAGCGCTTTGAGGCGAAAACAAAGCAAGGCGCCTCAGAACAAGACCATACCCGTAGCAGGTGATCCGCGAGGAGCGCTTTGAGGCGAAAACAAAACAAGGCGCCTCAGAACAAGACCATACCCGTAGCAGGTGATCCGCGAGGAGCGCTTTGAGGCGAAAACAAAACAAGGCGCCTCAGAACAAGACCATACCCGTAGCAGGTGATCCGCGAGGAGCGCTTTGAGGCGAAAACAAAGCAAGGCGCCTCAGAACAAGACCATACCCGTAGCAGGTGATCCGCGAGGAGCGCTTTGAGGCGAAAACAAAACAAGGCGCCTCAGAACAAGACCATACCCGTAGCAGGTGATCCGCGAGGAGCGCTTTGAGGCGAAAACAAAACAAGGCGCCTCAGAACAAGACCATACCCGTAGCAGGTGATCCGCGAGGAGCGCTTTGAGGCGAAAACAAAACAAGGCGCCTCAGAACAAGACCATACCCGTAGCAGGTGATCCGCGAGGAGCGCTTTGAGGCGAAAACAAAACAAGGCGCCTCAGAACAAGACCATACCCGTAGCAGGTGATCCGCGAGGAGCGCTTTGAGGCGAAAACAAAACAAGGCGCCTCAGAACAAGACCATACCCGTAGCAGGTGATCCGCGAGGAGCGCTTTGAGGCGAAAACAAAGCAAGGCGCCTCAGAACAAGACCATACCCGTAGCAGGTGATCCGCGAGGAGCGCTTTGAGGCGAAAACAAAACAAGGCGCCTCAGAACAAGACCATACCCGTAGCAGGTGATCCGCGAGGAGCGCTTTGAGGCGAAAACAAAACAAGGCGCCTCAGAACAAGACCATACCCGTAGCAGGTGATCCGCGAGGAGCGCTTTGAGGCGAAAACAAAACAAGGCGCCTCAGAACAAGACCATACCCGTAGCAGGTGATCCGCGAGGAGCGCTTTGAGGCGAAAACAAAACAAGGCGCCTCAGAACAAGACCATACCCGTAGCAGGTGATCCGCGAGGAGCGCTTTGAGGCGAAAACAAAACAAGGCGCCTCAGAACAAGACCATACCCGTAGCAGGTGATCCGCGAGGAGCGCTTTGAGGCGAAAACAAAACAAGGCGCCTCAGAACAAGACCATACCCGTAGCAGGTGATCCGCGAGGAGCGCTTTGAGGCGAAAACAAAGCAAGGCGCCTCAGAACAAGACCATACCCGTAGCAGGTGATCCGCGAGGAGCGCTTTGAGGCGAAAACAAAACAAGGCGCCTCAGAACAAGACCATACCCGTAGCAGGTGATCCGCGAGGAGCGCTTTGAGGCGAAAACAAAGCAAGGCGCCTCAGAACAAGACCATACCCGTAGCAGGTGATCCGCGAGGAGCGCTTTGAGGCGAAAACAAAACAAGGCGCCTCAGAACAAGACCATACCCGTAGCAGGTGATCCGCGAGGAGCGCTTTGAGGCGAAAACAAAACAAGGCGCCTCAGAACAAGACCATACCCGTAGCAGGTGATCCGCGAGGAGCGCTTTGAGGCGAAAACAAAACAAGGCGCCTCAGAACAAGACCATACCCGTAGCAGGTGATCCGCGAGGAGCGCTTTGAGGCGAAAACAAAGCAAGGCGCCTCAGAACAAGACCATACCCGTAGCAGGTGATCCGCGAGGAGCGCTTTGAGGCGAAAACAAAACAAGGCGCCTCAGAACAAGACCATACCCGTAGCAGGTGATCCGCGAGGAGCGCTTTGAGGCGAAAACAAAGCAAGGCGCCTCAGAACAAGACCATACCCGTAGCAGGTGATCCGCGAGGAGCGCTTTGAGGCGAAAACAAAACAAGGCGCCTCAGAACAAGACCATACCCGTAGCAGGTGATCCGCGAGGAGCGCTTTGAGGCGAAAACAAAACAAGGCGCCTCAGAACAAGACCATACCCGTAGCAGGTGATCCGCGAGGAGCGCTTTGAGGCGAAAACAAAACAAGGCGCCTCAGAACAAGACCATACCCGTAGCAGGTGATCCGCGAGGAGCGCTTTGAGGCGAAAACAAAACAAGGCGCCTCAGAACAAGACCATACCCGTAGCAGGTGATCCGCGAGGAGCGCTTTGAGGCGAAAACAAAACAAGGCGCCTCAGAACAAGACCATACCCGTAGCAGGTGATCCGCGAGGAGCGCTTTGAGGCGAAAACAAAACAAGGCGCCTCAGAACAAGACCATACCCGTAGCAGGTGATCCGCGAGGAGCGCTTTGAGGCGAAAACAAAACAAGGCGCCTCAGAACAAGACCATACCCGTAGCAGGTGATCCGCGAGGAGCGCTTTGAGGCGAAAACAAAACAAGGCGCCTCAGAACAAGACCATACCCGTAGCAGGTGATCCGCGAGGAGCGCTTTGAGGCGAAAACAAAACAAGGCGCCTCAGAACAAGACCATACCCGTAGCAGGTGATCCGCGAGGAGCGCTTTGAGGCGAAAACAAAACAAGGCGCCTCAGAACAAGACCATACCCGTAGCAGGTGATCCGCGAGGAGCGCTTTGAGGCGAAAACAAAACAAGGCGCCTCAGAACAAGACCATACCCGTAGCAGGTGATCCGCGAGGAGCGCTTTGAGGCGAAAACAAAACAAGGCGCCTCAGAACAAGACCATACCCGTAGCAGGTGATCCGCGAGGAGCGCTTTGAGGCGAAAACAAAACAAGGCGCCTCAGAACAAGACCATACCCGTAGCAGGTGATCCGCGAGGAGCGCTTTGAGGCGAAAACAAAACAAGGCGCCTCAGAACAAGACCATACCCGTAGCAGGTGATCCGCGAGGAGCGCTTTGAGGCGAAAACAAAACAAGGCGCCTCAGAACAAGACCATACCCGTAGCAGGTGATCCGCGAGGAGCGCTTTGAGGCGAAAACAAAACAAGGCGCCTCAGAACAAGACCATACCCGTAGCAGGTGATCCGCGAGGAGCGCTTTGAGGCGAAAACAAAACAAGGCGCCTCAGAACAAGACCATACCCGTAGCAGGTGATCCGCGAGGAGCGCTTTGAGGCGAAAACAAAGCAAGGCGCCTCAGAACAAGACCATACCCGTAGCAGGTGATCCGCGAGGAGCGCTTTGAGGCGAAAACAAAGCAAGGCGCCTCAGAACAAGACCATACCCGTAGCAGGTGATCCGCGAGGAGCGCTTTGAGGCGAAAACAAAACAAGGCGCCTCAGAACAAGACCATACCCGTAGCAGGTGATCCGCGAGGAGCGCTTTGAGGCGAAAACAAAACAAGGCGCCTCAGAACAAGACCATACCCGTAGCAGGTGATCCGCGAGGAGCGCTTTGAGGCGAAAACAAAACAAGGCGCCTCAGAACAAGACCATACCCGTAGCAGGTGATCCGCGAGGAGCGCTTTGAGGCGAAAACAAAGCAAGGCGCCTCAGAACAAGACCATACCCGTAGCAGGTGATCCGCGAGGAGCGCTTTGAGGCGAAAACAAAACAAGGCGCCTCAGAACAAGACCATACCCGTAGCAGGTGATCCGCGAGGAGCGCTTTGAGGCGAAAACAAAACAAGGCGCCTCAGAACAAGACCATACCCGTAGCAGGTGATCCGCGAGGAGCGCTTTGAGGCGAAAACAAAACAAGGCGCCTCAGAACAAGACCATACCCGTAGCAGGTGATCCGCGAGGAGCGCTTTGAGGCGAAAACAAAACAAGGCGCCTCAGAACAAGACCATACCCGTAGCAGGTGATCCGCGAGGAGCGCTTTGAGGCGAAAACAAAACAAGGCGCCTCAGAACAAGACCATACCCGTAGCAGGTGATCCGCGAGGAGCGCTTTGAGGCGAAAACAAAGCAAGGCGCCTCAGAACAAGACCATACCCGTAGCAGGTGATCCGCGAGGAGCGCTTTGAGGCGAAAACAAAACAAGGCGCCTCAGAACAAGACCATACCCGTAGCAGGTGATCCGCGAGGAGCGCTTTGAGAGCGCCAAGAAGACCGTACTAGCACCGCACCGTACCACACAGCACCTCACCCCAGCTGTACCCACAGAAAGAACGTACCCTTAGCAAGTGATCCGCGAGGAACGCCAGGAAGTTGAGCAGAAGCAGCAGGAACACGCCGTTGAAACTGTTGCCGCCCTGCCGCCCAACTGCAGAAGACGACACGCCCGGCCGCCCACCAGCCTGCCGCCCAGTTGCCGTCCCCCGGCCATCTTCCCGCCCTTGTTCCCGCCCTTCCTCCTCCAGCTCGAAGCTCGAGAAGCGCGCCGAGTCGCCCCTGCCAGCCTGGCATCTGTGGAAAGAGCCTCGCGACCTAGTTTTTGCAGCATTTGCGCTGCCAGTCCGCTCAAAGGATAACCTCGGATCAGCGCCTGTGTCTGTCGACGTCTGATAAGCCCCTTTGAGGTTAGCAACGGTCCGTGCGAAACTCAACGAATCGCAACAAATAGAAACTCCCCACCCTGTTTCGGTTAGAGCTTGTGAACGACACGCATTGCCTCGAGGAATCTTCGTCGCACGAGCTCCCGCGCGGACTGATTGTGCGGTGCTGCACCTATCGGGAAGATCGCCGGTGGTTGGATGACACGTTATTCTGTAACCACCTTTCGTTGAACTCGTGGTTCCTCTTCGGCATTGTTCGCGTGTCAAGCTAAAGCCGAAGGAACGCGGTGGCTCCAACAACGTCTTAGGCGGGGCTAATCTCTCGGCCATGCTGGCAATGCTGCTGAGTTAGTAGTTACTAATTACTAAGTACGTTTAGCATCCCTGTGAGGCTAGGGGTTAGGGAAAATCGGTAGCGGAAATGCAGCCTAGAATATGTTGAAGCTTAGTCAGAGCGAGAGAAACATGTTATAACGCGAAGAACCGATCCCCACCGCACCAAACGTACCAATGAAGTTCTCCCTGACGGGGGCTCGTGCCAGGGGGGTGCAACACTTAGCGCGTCCGCGTTTATACTTCACTCAATCCATGTTTCGGATGGTTGAAAAAATGCAGTCCACTTGTTGAATCAACTAGAACACTTTATCATGAGAGAAATCTGTACATGTCACGCGATTGGCTAAGCCGATGCACGTATACTGGAGCGGCATAATCAGGTGCTATCACACTTAGGTTTCTTGGCTTCTCTATTATCACTCTCATTATTATCCTCCCCTTGTCTGTCTGTCTTCTTCCTATCAGGCACCACAGCAGCCACTGCTTTCTCCCAATCCTTATGCTGCAGGTACTGTAGCAGGATATCCACCACGTGGTTCACTGTTAACACCTGCATGGATGGAAGTTGGGAGACAAACAAATGACGATGAACTTTAATGTCCACCAGTCCTTATGCTGCAGGTACTGTAGCAGGATACCCACCACATGGTTCACTGTTGACACCTGCACAACAAGAGAACAAGGGTTACAAAAAAGGTCGCTATTAGTCAGCGTAAACTCCCCACGGTCCTTGTGCTGCACGTGCTGCAGGTACTGTAGCAGGATATCCACCACATGGTTCACTGCTAACACCTGCACAGGGGGAGACAGAGAGCAGAGGGGATGGACGGGCGAGCGAGGGCGATTGGGGCAACAAGGCAACTTTATTCGCAGCCCCTGTGCTGCAGGTACTGTAGCAGGATGTCCACCACATGGGTCACTGCTAACACCTGCATGAAGTAAGGAGGGGTAGAAATAAATAAACAGAGTAATTAGCCGCCTTCGACTATTCCCGGTCCATGTGCTGCAATGGATTCATATTTTAATATTCTAAAAAGTACGTTGCGGGTACTGCAACAGGATGTCAACTTCATGGTTCACTGCTGCCACCTGGAATCCGGGGGGGCTGTGGGGAGGGGTAGGGGTTAGGGAAGGAAGGATGGAATGGAGTCCACGAGGAGATCACCAGTCTGTGTAGCCGGCAGGAACTGCAGGTACCGCACCGAAATCTCCACCTTGAGACGTCTCACATCTGAATCTTCAAAACACTTCTGCACCAGAAATTCCACCAGGCGGTTTACTGCTTGTTGTGGCTAAAAGTGGGGTCAAGGGAAGGATATTGAAAAACAAGGGCGATATTGGCCCACCCCATCCCTCGACCACATATAGCACACCACACCACAGCACCCCGAACCACATCGCTCTTCTTCTCACCTTAAAAAAAAGTCCAATTTAAGGCACTTCCCATTTGGCACTCTCGCTATCTTGATCCCCTGTTTCTCCGCCTCCCCCTTAGTAAGCCCGTTGTACACCAGCTATGGCCCACTGTGCCCACCATTACACCTCCTGCACCCCACTGCACCTCATTGCACCACTTTGCACACCCATCTTTCGTCTTGAGATTCAGGTGCTTCCCAATCGGCAGTGCCACCGTCTTGATCCCCTGCTTCTCCGTTTTCCCCTTAGTTGTACCGATTAGAATTACAACCCTCCCCTGCCACACACAGCACCGCACAATTCTCACCTTGGTCGTCTTCAGATTGAGGTACTTCCCAATTGGCAGTTTCGCTGTCTGAATCCCCGTCTGCTTCTCCGCCTTCTCCTTAGTCAACCCGTTGTACCGATTCAATTTTACAACCTCCCCCCCCCACACACAGCACCGCACAGTACCGCACAGAATCACAGCACACCCTTTCTCACCTTGGACGTCTTCAGATTGAGGTACTTCCCAATCGGCAGTTTTGCCGTCTTAATCCCCTGCTTCTCCGCTTTCTCCTTGGTCAACCCCTTGTACTTATTCCGATCCACAATCCCCCCACCACATACACCTTCCCCGGTTCCACCTCCCCCACCTCCTCCTCTGCATCCGCCGTGAGGTACACCAGCTCCCCCTCCCGCCCCCGCCATGCCTCGATATAAGCACGCGGCTCCACAGTCACGCCCTGCCAGCTTTCAAAGCCTGCGATGCGCTGCAGGCGTTGCAGGAAGGGGCTGGTGGGGGGGAGGCCAGAGAGCGTCAACCTGCAGGGAGCAGGGGCGCGCTGGTTGAGGGCGTAGGAGAACATGACCTGGGGGGAGGGGAGGGGAGGGTAGGGGAGCAGTGGGAGATATGTGTGAGTCCGCTGCAGGCACTGCAGGAAGGGGCTGGCGGGGAAGAGGCCGAAGAGAGTGATGCGGCAGGGAGCTGGTGCTCGCTGGTTGGGGGCGTAGGAGAAATGACCTGGGACGCAGGGATACTTGGAGGAGAGTAAATTGGGGCGGGGGAGGGGGTGGGAGTGGGGGGTTGGGGAATATCCCCGCACCTGCTGCTGCAGGCTGGACAGTTCTCTCCCCCATAAGCTCTTCAAACTCCAAGTCAATGATCACCCCCAAACCATGCACTCCCATCTCATGTTCGCAAGGACCTCAAACTCCCCTGCTTAACCTGCTGCTGACGACTGGAGAGTTCTCTCTCCCCCATCGGCTCCTCAAACTTCAAGCTATGATCCGCCCGGGACCCTTCCTTGCCTTGATCCATGTCACCTTTAAGTCCTGAATTCTCAAGGCATTTTTTAGAATTCTCAAAAATACCCTCCATGTCACCTTAAAGTCCTGAATTCTCCATAAAACCAATCTCCCATAAACCCCTAAACCCCCGTCCCTGCACCTGTTGCTTCAGGCTTGACAGTTTTCTCTCCACCCAACAATTCCTCAGACTCCAAGTCAATGATCAGTCCAAACCCAAACCATGCGACCCTCCCTCCCAGGAGGGAAGCAAAGCAACCCCCCTGCTTCACCTGCTGCTGAAGGCTTGACAGCTCTCTCTCCCCCATCAACTCCTCAGACTCCAAGTCTATGATCAGCCCAGTGCAAGCCCAAACAATCAGCCCACTCCCAAGGCGGAAGCCAAGCAAATATCTCGGCTATACCTGCTGCTGCAGACTCGACAGTTCTCTCTCCCCCATCAATTCCTCAAATTCCAAGTCAATTATCAGCCCCGGACCCTTCTCCGCCTTTTCCGCCCACGCCCTCCGCCGCTCCGCCTCCACCGCCCTTCGCGCCTCCGCCTTCTCCCGCTGCCGCGCGGCGGCTTCCGCGCGCTCCTCCGCGGTCAGACTGGCCTCCGCGGCCGCCGCCTCCTGCTCCGCGCGCTTCTGCTGCGCCTCCCGCGCAAGCCGCGCGTCCTCCCGCGCGCGATCCTTGCGCTCCTGCATGGCCTGCCGCTTCGCCAGCTTCTTCTGCGCGTTCTTCGAGAGCGGCTTATCGGACTCCTGCGCACTGTCCGGCGCACTCGCATCCCCGTTAGTAGCGTTCTTCGACAGCGGCTTATCAGAGTCCTGCGCACTCGTATCCCCGCTGGCAGCGTTCTTCGAAACAGGTTCCAAGCCTTGGATGATGTCCCGCGCACTCGCGTCCACAATCGCGTCCTTCGGTAACGCTTCTGCAGCGTGCTGTCCATTCGCCTCCTTCGTTTCCCCTCCCTCCCTCCTCGCATCCAGGTGACTTCTGACTTTTGACTCAAAAGGAACCCCGATCCTATCGTCCACCGCCCCCCGCCCACCATCCTCTGACTCTTTTCCGCCCCTATCGCCCTCCGCCGCTCCGCCTTCCCCGCCCAAACCAGAAACCTTGCCGCTGCTCTCCCCCTCTTTCTCTCCCCCTCCCTCTCCGCATTCGCGCTTTTCTCCGCCTTCCCCCTCCCCTCTGCCTTCCCCACTCTCTCCCCCGTCCTTCTTCGCTTCATTCTCACGCGCGCTGGCGTCAGCGCGCAAATCTCCGCCATCAGCGCACAAAGCTCCGCCACTTGCTGCCCCTGAAGCGCACTCCGCCGACTGAGCAACTGCCACGTGGCACGCTGCTGCTGGTTGAGCGGCTTCCATCGTAGCAGCTTCCATTATAGCGGCTTCCGCGCGAGCGATCCGACGCTACGGGAAGCGAGGGGCGTATGAGCGCTGGACCCCGAGCGAGAAACCTTGGGTGCTAAACAAACCCTGGGAGTAAAACCCCGACGAGGAATCTGACGATTTTGTGAAGCACCAAAATAGGTTCCAAAATTTCGAAGTAATGGGGAAAAGGGAAAAGGGAAATATGTGGTTTGGACTAGGTGGAAATATAGTGCTTTTTTATTTTCGCCTCCTGGTCGGAACAGTAGATAGATGGGGGGCAAAAGTAGGGAGCTGCTGTGGGGTGTGGGAGTGAGCCATGGCTTGAGCTGCTGCCGATCCCTCGGTCCTCCGAAGGCGTGTTTACGAGTGTGGTTAGAATGCTCCGGAGTCAAACCCGAATATTTTCTGCACCCTTAGGACTTTCGCGAAGGTGCATGTAAGAGATTTCAACTCAATGCGAAACGATTAATGATTACTGCGAGCAACTGGTTACAAATGTAATACAGAGGTCTCGGATTTTCTATGCAACACGCCCTTTGAGGCAGGGGGACGCAGACCTAATCAGCATGTTCAGCGGTGGCTTGGGTGTGTCGCGGATAATTGGTGCTGGTTCGCTGTGTATGATCTGGCACTCGCGAAACTCACGAAACCACTCGCCAATTATCTTCGTACATCTTCTTCGAGCCTCGTACGCCAATCCCTACCGCTCATAGCCCTTGTTCGCATGGCAATCCCAAGGCCCACCCTCAATCACCTCTCGACGAAACTTTTCTGCACCTTCCCGTTCGCCTTCCTCCCGCTGCTGCCGCTGCCAGCGCAGCTGCATGAGCTGGTCTGTCATTTTTGCTCATTTTCGCTCTGGGGATGAGGGGACGACCTAGCCTGGACCAGAACCAGCAGCTGAAGAGGAGAAGAAACCGCGAGCGAACCTCACAGGAGAGCGTACCGACGAGCTATCTCACGATCTAAGCCCGTGCGATACCGTTGCTCGATCGTGGGTGAAGGCTCACGAACCAATCAAGCCCGACGGTTGTTCTTCGTTGGCGCCAAAACTTCTCTTTGGATCGCGGGTTATATTTCAGCGCGGGTCACGCTGGTAGTTAGTCCCTAAGTCGAGCCAGCGATGGCGGATTCGGCGTCAGATTCGGCGGCGGGTTTGGCGCCGGATTTGACGAAGCAATCAGCCATCGCTGCACGTGAGGCAGAAGCGGCGCGTCGAACGGGTCGCATGTCCGACGGCATGTGCGCTGGTGCCTATGCTGACTCGCTGAAATGTACGTACGCGTTACAAGGCGCATGTACTAGGCACTATGCAGATTCACTGACATCATGCATGCGGGCAACTTTGAAAAGCTTTTATGTCTCCTTGACAGCTGAGCTGGCATTCACCTTTAACGCCGCTTCACATGCATGTCCCCTTACATGTCCCCTTACATGTCCCCTTACATGTCCCCTTACATGTCCCCTTGACATGTCCCCTTGACATGTCCCCTTATATGTCCCCTTTACATGCACTACAGGAGTTCACTATGGATGATCCTGCCCTTTGTTTTGGCTTTTCTCATTGTGCCATCACTTCCTTCCCTGCCTTTCCCCCCCCCCGCCTGCGCTGCTCCCTTCCTCTCAAATACCCGTTATATCTTGACATCCTCCCCGCTGTGATGGGACTCAGGTCTGGATAAGAACAGCTACGACAAGAGCAAGTGCGAGGACAAGTTCGACGCGTACAAAGAGTGCAGAAAAGTAGAGGTGAGCGCAATGCAAGGGAGAAGGGGTCTGGGTGGGTGGGGTGATTTTTGAGTCAACTCAAAAGAGCGAGTGCGAGGACAAGGTATACACGTACAAAGAGTGCAGAAAAGCAGAGGTGAGCGCAATGCGAGAGATGGAGAGGGATGTGGGTGGGGAGGGAGAGGGTGCAGGAGAGGAGGGAGAGGAGCAGAGTAGGGGGAGAGGAAACGAGGGCTGCTCGTATAAGAACGGAATATTTGTCAGCTTCAGATATTATCCTGCAAAGGTGTGTCACTCCTTGGATCCTGGAATTGCTCTCAGCCCTTTACTGGCTTTGGTCTTGCGACTGCATATTGTCCCTGTGTTGTTTGAATGTGCATGCAACAGCGGGAGAAGCGATTGGAAGCAAACAGCAAAAAGTCGTTCTTTGGATGACCTTACATGAGGTAGTAGGTACCAGCAGCTCCTAATGTTTGATATTCTCTGCTTTGTAAAAAAAAATGTGTTTTTGTGTTTATTCCTTAGTGTCTGAAAAGAAGGCCCTCGACCAACTTTCCCGTGCTGTGACAGAATACTGCTACTCACTCACTTGCCAGCTGGTGGTTACAGCTTACATGCACCATGCAGTGCACTCCATGCACCAGTGTAGCTTGCACCATCAATAGCTAGTGTTTCTGCTGCTCTAAGCATGCAGGCAAAGCAAGGTTGTATGGTAGGGAGGGAGGGATACCTGTTGGGCTCACACACATTGCGTGCCAGGCACTTGCTCGCTGGCTGCTGTCTTTCGAGTCGACTAAAAAGCATGCAGGCAAAGCAGGTTTCTATGGTAGGATAGGGTGGGGCCCTGTCACGCTCCCACACCGCGAGCCAGGTCTACTCTTGAGGCGCCTCAAGAATAGGCTCCTCATGCCATCGTAGGGATCCTTGCTGGGCTCGCACATTGCGTGCCCGGCACTTGCTGGCTGCAGACTTTCGAGTCGACTCGATAGCATGCAGGCAAAGCAAGTTTCTAGGGCTCGCACACTGCGTGCCCGGCACTTGCTCGCTAGCGGTTGGCATTGGGCATCTCAGTGGCACTGCAAGGCAGATGATGATGGGATGGGATCATGGGAGCGAGGGCAGGGGGGAGAGGTATTTTGAGGCGCCTCAAAAGTCGGCACTTGCCTGCTGGCTGATTGCTTTGGGCATCTCAGTGGCAATGCAAGGCAGATGATGATGGGATGGGATCATGGGAGCGAGGGCAGGGGGGAGAGGTATTTTGAGGCACCTCAAAAGTCGGTGTGGGTGTGGGTGTGGGTGTGGGTGTGGGAGTGGGTGTGGGTGTGAGTGTGGGTGTGGGTGTGGGTGTGGGTGTGGGTGTGGGTGTGGGTGTGGGTGAGTGTGGGTGTGAGTGTGGGTGTGAGTGTGGGTGTGGGTGTGAGTGTGGGTGTGAGTGTGGGTGTGAGTGTGGGTGTGAGTGTGGGTGCGAGTGTGGGTGTGAGTGTGGGTGTGAGTGTGGGTGTGAGTGTGAGTGTGGGTGTGAGTGTGGGTGTGTGTGGGTGTGAGTGTGGGTGTGAGTGTGGGTGTGAGTGTGGGTGTGGGTGTGAGTGTGGGTGTGAGTGTGGGTGTGGGTGTGGGTGTGGGAGGCGATGCCACAGGAGCAGCTTTGCCCCTCTTGAAGCTAACGAGTGGGTGTAATAAAAGCATGCAGTGCATGCAGTAACCAGAACACACCATCTTGTGGTGGTGGGAGTGCGTGTGTGATGCATGTAACGCATGTAGTGCATGCAGTAACCAAAACATATGATCTCGTGGTGGTGAGAGTGCACGTGTGATGCAGGTATTCATGCATCAACCAGAACATACGATGTGGTGGGAGTGGGCGTGGGAGCCGACGCCACAGGAGCGGCTTTGTCCCTCTTGAAGCTGACTCGTTTAGAGTAGAAACACTTGACTCCGCTCCACCAGTCCAGCCCCCCGGCCTCCTCACATGCCGCCACTCGCACCGCCATCAGCAGCTGCCTCAGCAGCATCTGATCCTCCCGGGTGCTGTGTAAGGGGGGGGGGAAAGGGAGCATATGAGGTGGGAGGGGAGAGGACAGGAAGGGAGTGATTCAGTGCGTGCTATCACCAGTCGCACCGCCATCAGCAGCTGCCTCAGCAAAACATCTGATCCTCCCGCGTGCTGCATGGGAGGGAGGGAAGGGATGGGAGGGAGGGACGGGCGGTGAAGAGGAAGAGAGTGAGTCAAGTCAAGGCATGCATTCACTTGACTCCGCTCCACCAGCCCCACCCCTCCGCCTCCTCACACGCCGCCACTCTCATCGACGCCACTCTCTCCCTTGGCTTCTCTTGGCGCTCAAACCTACTCTGGAACGTGGGGGTCGCCTCTTCTGAAGTACCGCCTCAACACCACCCACCTCTCAGGACTGGTGAGCCAGCTGAGGATAGTCGGAACGGACTCGGAGCAGAGGAGCAGCCTTAGGGAGTCGCTGCTGCGAATCTTCTCAGCTCGCACCAGCAGTGCCAGGTGCTTCTGGAATGTGAGGGTGAGCGCGCCCATGTTCATCCGTGCCTCAATGCACTCCTCTTCCCCTCCGCCCCCTCGCTCCCCACCCCGCTGCTGCTGCTGTGGCGGCTGCTGCTGCTGCTGCCCTGTTCCCACCATCCCCGTTCCTGACCCCCCTGTATCACCACCGACCTCTGAACCTCGTCCCTCTCCTGCTATAGCATCTCCGCTTCCTGCTGCTGCTGCTGCTACTCCACCCGTGCCTGCTGCTGCGTCCGTCTCACTCACTCGCACTCCCCGTGCCCACCAGCCCCCCATGAGCCCCTTCCAGCCAGCCCTGGCGTTCGCAGCACCCCCCCCTCTTCTTGCCGCATTCCCTGCTCCTTCAGTTGCTAGAGACCCTGCGCCTGCCCCCACACCTGCCCCTGCCCCCACACCTGCCCCTGCCCCTGCCCCTGCCCCTGCCCCTTCCGCTGCCCCTTCTCCTGCCCCTGCCCCTGTCCCCGTGGCCTCCCCCGCCCCCGGCCCATGCTCTGGCATGCCTTCATGCGGGGTCTCCTCCCACGACACCAGATTCTGCACGCGAATAGAAGGGGTTCTCCTCAGCACCGGCCCTCCTGCTGCTGCTGCTCCTCCTCCTGCTCCTGCCGCCGCCGCTGCTATTCCTACACGGAGGCCAAGCCCGGCCCTACTGGCCGCGGTAGAGAGCGCTCCAGAGCTCAGCCCACCCATGGCTCCCCCGCCTCCCACACCTCTCGGGACTCCCCCCCCGCCACTGCCACTTGTGCTGCTGAAATCACTGCTATCGCTTTCAACACTTGCTGTATCACTGTCTCCCGCTCCTGCTCCTGCTCCCATTCCTCCTGCCCCTCCTCTCACTCCCCACACACCCCCCACTCTCATTCCAAGTCCTCCTATTCCCTCCCATCCTGCTCCTCCTGACCCTCTTCCTCCTCCTCCTCCTCCTGCTGCGGCACCCATGTTGTCCACGTCAGCAGCAGCCACGCTGGAAGATGCCCAGATGACGTGGCTCTCCAGCTGAGGTGGCCACACGTCAGCCTCATCCAGCTCATACCACGAGTTCCTCCCTCCCCCTCGCTGCTGCAACAGTGGCTGCTGCTGCTGCTGGTCCACCAAACCATTCACCTGAGATTCACCAGGAGAAGAATCCCCTCTCTGTTGCTGGCCCATCCCGTGCACCTGACCGTTCAGCCTCCCTTCCCCCCCCTCTCCACCCCATCTCCACCGCTCTGCACCCTTTCTTCCGCCCCACTGTCCAGCCCTCTCTCCCCACTATTTCCCTCCACTCCGCCCCTCTGCACCCCTCCAATACCGACCCCACTCCCCGAACCATCCCCATTTACCAAACCTCCCCCACCTACCGAACCATTCCCCAGGCTCTCCCTTCCCTGGCATTCCTCCCCCGAGGCATGCCACACGCCATGCGCCCTGCAGAACCACCCATCCTTAGGCACCCTCGCTACAGTCACATGGCCAGTGCTCGCCCCCAGCAGCGCCTGTGCGAGCACAGCATACAGCTGCGGCTTCTTCAGGTGGTTTAGCCAATCCATGGGCGCCAAACCGACCAATCGGCACGTCTCGAACCGATCCCGAACGCGCAGCAGCAGTCGCCGCTCCTCAGTTCGGTTGGTGAGGAGAGTCGCAAAGATGATGTGAGGGCGGAACCAGGCGCATATGTCTTGAGCGGGGACCAGGTCATAGGGGTCCATTTTATCGAATCGGGCCTTTTGGCGCTTGCGCTCGGCTTTCCACACGCGGTGCAGCATGCGCGCGTTTGCGAGGTCGAGGTGATTGTTTACACAGTCGTAAACGAGGAGCGTTATAGTGGGGATGAGGATGAAGGCGGAGGAGAAGCCGAAGAGGATCTGAGAGAAGAGGGAGAGGTTGAGGTAGTTGTAGCAGACGAGCGAGAGCGTGAAGAAGAACTGGCGAGGGTGAGCAGCGCCTGCAGGTACTCCAGAGAGAGCGAGGCGAGGGGCGAGGTCTTGTAGTGCGTGGCTATGCGGAGAGCCTGCAGGAGAAGGATGATTATCACCTGGTGGAGGGGACGGAGAGGGAGGGGAGAAGAGGGGAGGGGAGAAGAGGGGAGGGGAGAAGAGGGGAGGGGAGGAGAGAGGACGTGTCACATGAGGCACCACCTGTAATGCAGCGGGAGAAGAGGGGAGGGGAGGAGAGAGGACGTGTCACATGAGGCACCACCTGTAATGCAGCGGGAGAAGAGGGGAGGGGAGGAGAGAGGACGTGTCACATGAGGCACCACCTGTAATGCAGCGGGAGAAGAGGGGAGGGGAGGAGAGAGGACGTGTCACATGAGGCACCACCTGTAATGCAGCGGGAGAAGAGGGGAGGGGAGGAGAGAGGACGTGTCACATGAGGCACCACCTGTAATTCAGCGGGAGAAGAGGGGAGGGGAGGAGAGAGGACGTGTCACATGAGGCACCACCTGTAATGCAGCGGGAGAAGAGGGGAGGGGAGAAGAGGGGAGGGGAGAAGAGGGGAGGGGAGAAGAGGGGATGGGGGTTTGACCGTTGAGATAGTTGCAGCAGGCGAGCGAGAGCGTGAAGAAGCACTGGCCGAGGGTGATCAGCGCCTGCAGGTCCTCCAGAGAGAGCGACGCGAGGAGCAACGACTTGTAGTATGTGATGACGTCAAGGCATGATGGGCGACGTGAAGTGCCGCTGCGGGGGGGGAGGAGAAGGGGGAAAGGGGAAAAGGAGGGGAGAAAGGGAGGGAGAGGGGAGGAAGAGTGAGGGGGAGAGGGAAGGAAGGGAACCAAGGTAGTCTGATGAGGCTAACTTGGCTGCGCTGGGCTAGGAGTGAGGGCTAGGAGTGAGGGCTAGGAGTGAGGGCTAGGAGTGAGGACGAGGTCCCTCAAAGGAAGAGGCTAGGACTTGTAGTGCATGGTGATGTGTGCTAAGTCTCAGCTTCTTAAACGACGGGAAGCACTGCATGCTTGGTCTCCTGCTGAAAGAACACCGGGATGAACGGGACGAAAAAGTAGGATCCGAATGGGCGTGCGTCCATGATGGTGTGAACGAGTGGCCGCCTACCTGCGGCTTGGTCTCGTGCTGCAGGAACACGAGGATACAGCCGTGCAGAGTGTGTTAGAAATGCATACAATGGGATGCGCATGTGGGACGATCAAGCAGGAGCGTGCGTGAGGGTGTGACCGAGTGGGCATCTACTACCTGCGACTTGGTTTCCTGCTGCAGGAACACGAGGATACAGCCGTGCAGCACCCTCAACCCTATGTTGGTCAGATGCCACCTGCGGCAGTGAGTGGAGGAGGGGGGAGTAAGGGAGCGGCAAGAGGGGATTGGAAATAGGAGAACACACCCACGCAACACCTTTAACTTAACCCTATGGTGGTCAGATCAGATCCCACCTGGTGCAGTGGAGAGAGTAGGAGAGGGCGGTAAGGGAAGGACTGCGGGATTGGAATTAGGGGGATGGGATACACAGCCATGGAGCATCTTCGGACCCACGTTGGTCAGATAGCACCAGGAGAGGAGAGAGAACGAGCGGCAGGGGGTAATAGGAGGGGACAAAGCTGGGAAAACAGAGGCTGGGGTTTAGGAATAGAGTTGTGCAGCACCCTCAGGCCCATGCTGGTGAGCTGCCACCTGCAGCGGCGAGAGGAGGAGGAGGAGAGTAAGGGAGCGGCAAGAGGGGATTGGAAATAGGAAGATACACCCACGCAGCACCCCTCAACTCAACCCTACGGTGGTAAGGTGCCACATGCAGCAGTGGGCAGGAGAGGAGAGAGCGGTAAGGGAAAGACAGCACGGTTGGACAACATGCCAACATGCAGCACCCTCAGACCCACGTTGGTCAGATGCCACCTGAAGTTGTGGAGTCCGGGTTTAGCCACTCACCACCAGAAGTTTCAGAGAGAAGCGCTCGGTGAGCCACCCAAACCGCTGTTTGAATATAGTAGAAGAGAGCATTTCGCACGCGTGTGAGTCGACCAGCACGCCAGCGAAGAGCACCGGGTAGCAAAGAGCACCAGTAGCCTGACACCAAGTAGACTAGAAGTATAAGTAACGAGCATGGCGGCTACCACTTTCTTGTCGCCATTCCACTCACCACCAGAATTTGGGAGTGAATCGTTCGGTGAGCCACCCGAATCTCTGTTTGAAGAGCGCGGAAGAGAGCACGTCGCACGTGTGTGCGTCGATCAGCACGCCAGCAAAGAGCGCCGGCAGCCCCACCAGGTACACCAGCGTAACCAGCACGGCGGGTAACCAGCATGCCAACATGCACGGGGGAGAGCCAGAGGATCTGCGCGCGCCGCTGCCATCACTGTTGCCGAGCCGACCGTTTGGGACTGAAAGGAGGGGGGAGAGAGAGGGGGGGGCTTTTGAGCTGACCGTTTGGGGCTGGAAGGAGGGGATGGGAGGAGGGGGGGGTGCTTGGCTATTGGGCATGTGGTTCTTTGACATAGGTGCGTGCATAGCATGGCATGGGATTGTCGAGAAAAAAAAAACCATTTCGCGATGCAATTGCACCTTCCTTCGCCTTGAGATGTTGCAGCACTTTGACCATCACGGACACGTAGTAGCAGTTGCCATGAGTGCACTCACGGACACGTAGTAGCAGCTGCCATGAGTGCACTCACAGACACGTAGTAGCAGCTGCCATGAGTGCACTCGAATGAAGAATGAGCCACCCAGCCACCGGTATTGCCAAACACCTTCAACACTTGCAGCACTTTGACCATCACACGCTTCAAAC